CCACCCCCCATTTTTACCTCCACTGAGCTGGTCAGAGAATGGCAGAAAACTCAAGTGCATCTTGAAATGAAGGAGGTTCTGCCTGGCTTGGTCTGAAGTAGTGCTTTACATTTCTGGCCACATGTTGAACACTCATAAAGTTTCCTATTTTCTAGAGTTTAAGGCCAAGTTCTGTTACCACTGTCTCAGAATATAAAGGCTGCTGGGTTGTTAGTATTCTGCCTTCATTTAAAAAAGAAATTACAATTCCTGGAGATTATATAAAGTCAGTGATGCTAAATCTTCCAGACACTGAATTATACTAAATCAAACACTAAGCTGCTATTTTATCATGGGATTTACTTTTACAGTAGTCATTTGGTGGGGGGAAGAGGGACTCAGACTTCATTGTGGACAGCTTGGAGAAGGTGGGATGTTAAACCACATTAAGAGAAACAATTCAGGATGTTTTGGAGAGATACAGATGGAAAATTCCCACCTGTTAACCTGTATTCAGTTACAGCCTCGAGGTGCCTCTGTAGGAGGAATATAACCGAAGGGAACTGTTTCACGGCGTAGCCATCAAAATGTCTATCAAGAGAGAGGTTTGATTGCAAGGGGAGGTTTTAAAAGCTTTGGTCTGAGTGGTTTAGCAAGGAGTTAACAAGGGGAGACGTGGCAGGGGTGTATTGAGTTAAAAGAAAAATGCAGGGAAAGTGAATTAGAAATGCTGACCTGTCATTTTGAGACGTGGTGAAATAAAAAGTCTTCAGAGTGAATGCTAGAGGGGAAGAAAAAGCGGGGGAGTGTTTGTTCTGCAACAAGAAACTTCCCTTTTGGAATTGCCTTTGTATTTATAAGGAGAAGAGCACTTTGCACAGGGAGAAGTATTTTGCATTGGACCCCAGTCTCTGGTGGCAGAGCACTGGCAAACTCATGACACCTGTCTCCCAGTTCAGAAAGCTCCTGGCTGGTTGTCTCCAGCCCAGCAGTGTGGGAAGGACGGGCTGGTGGAGCCACAGGGAAGGGTGACCCATCGCTTGGATGTCCTCCCTCGCTGGACCCCATTGTGGCACCAACAGCCTTGTCTGACGTGCTGTCCCCACGTGCCGTCCTCTTTCTGCTTCATTTCTTTCTCCTTCTCCTCCTAGACTCCCCTTCGTCGGGTGATGATGAAGATGACGATGATGAGTCAGAAGATACAGGTAATTTGTTTTCTGGGATACAGAGGCCTTTTGTTTCAAAGAGATGTGGCTCCCAAGCGGAGCGGCTCATCTAGATGTTGGGGCAGCAGCTCTTCATGCATGTTGAAATCGCTGACCTTAGGATGGGGAGGGCAAACTCCCCGGACCTGGTACCGTGATGGTGTTTATCCTAGAAATTTAGAAATAGCTGCAGGAGTGGTATTGCTGCTATAATATCCTATAGCAGCGGTAGCATGAATTTTTTTTTTTTATTTTTTTTTTGAGACTTGATTCTACAAATCTGACTTGGTGAACTAGAGTTATAAATTCTCCTTGCATGTAAATCCAGACAAACCCACTTATCTTTTTTTTTCTTTTACTACGCTGACATTACACTCGTTTTACACCGTTGCAAACCTCGGCCTGCTTTATTTTTAGCTGTTTTGATTCTGGTCCTTACCAGCATTGTAGCTGGAGGCAGAGCATAAAATTTACACTAGCCAGGGGCCAAATTTACTGATGCCATAAGCGGGAGCAACCCCTTTGGCTTTACTGGCTTTTTCTTTCGCTCACGTGGGGAAGGGAGCCCCAGGACGGAGCCTCTCGGTGCTTTTACACTGAATCCCTTTCAATCCCTGTGCTTGTTTCTTTAAGTGCAATAGCATTAATCAGGATCATTACATGCTTCAGAGGCGTTGGTGTTGTGTTTTATTATGCTCTTTATATTTCTGCAAAGCGAGCTGCCTGTGTGTATGTGTTTTTAATAAATAAACGTCTTGCATTTGAACTCCCAATCAGCTATGTACATTGGCAGAAGTTCAACATGACTGGAAAATTTCTCCTGCTCATAGCGTTGGACATGCAGGAGTCTTTAAAACAGGTCTCCCACTGTAATGAATTCATACCGCTGCATCGTGCAGTATGTGGACAGTAATGGTGAGTTACGGTGCCAGGCGACCCATCGGCAGCAGTTAGTGGTTTTCTGATAGCTTCTAATTAAGGGCCAGATCCTGCGAGGTGACAAGCACCTTTGTGGAGGTGCTCAAGGGCTCCTGAAGCCTGGTAGAGGGAGGGTCAGGTTTGGTCAGGATTTGTTACTGCTGCAGAGCGGCTTCTGATGAGCACAATTAATCGTTCTGTACCTTTTTTTTATGTGGTTTGTAGTAAACTCCATCTCTTAGCAACAGGTATCACAAAACATCAGCTGGTTTATGGTACAGAAAGACACGGTTTTCTTCACTGAAAGGAAAATGCACGTTTCACCGCATGTATTTATAGCCTGTATTCTGGGTCTTCTTGACTTCAAGGCTGTGTCTTTTTTTAGACCCAAAGGTAACCGCTGGCTTTGCTTAAAGGCCTCGTTATAAAAAGTTGGATTCTCTTCTGCTTCAAAAACGGTTGGTTAACTTAGCGTGCCAGCGCATGGCGAAACCCCGTGGCGTGGCATGACGTGGATGTGCTTTATGTTGCTTCGCTTGATGTCAGACACTACACTTAACCTTCACAGATCTTCTCTTGAGTCTGGGGAGCCATGTTGTTAACCCTGGCACTGCCGCCACCGCTGGGACATCCCACCGAGGGACAGGGGCTGTAGGACCATCCCGGGCAGGCAGACGTGGGTATAGCCAGTGCCATGTCCTATGGACAGCCCAAAGGCCTGTGTCCTCCATCTCTTGTGGCAAAAAGATACCCCACTAATGAGGTGTATGAGCTTGGCCATCAGACATAGCCACGTCAGTAGTTAGAGGAGTGAAGGCAATAAACGCTTTCATGCGAAAGAAAAATACAACTGATAGTTATTCGTATTTAGGGGAAGGTAATCCATCCAGGGCTGGCTAATTGCATGTTGCCATATTGCATGTCACTGAATAAAAACCTTGCCTCCTGGCCCTTGGTGATGATAAGTTAGTTTTCTGGCTTACTTGTGTTGTTCAAGAGAGTTTCTTACCCTCATATTTATAGAGAAGAGCTTGGAGAGCTGATTCTAATAGCTTCATGAGTTTGAAGCCAGTATTGTTAATTTGAGGGTTTTCACCCAAAAATTGTTGGATGACTAGAGCTGGAAATACCAAAGCAAGAGAACAAGAGGAAATCTGTGCTAGAAGAAATGAATATTTGGTGCAAAAACCCTTGGAGAACACGGAGACAGGCTCTCCACGTGGAGTGCCCGCATCGTCTCCCAAGGGCAGTACAGAAATGGGGCATCCCTTAGGGATGGGCAGCAGAGAAGAAGAAAGAGGAACTTCAGCAGCTTCAAATCATTGGCCCGTTTGTTGCAGCCTTGTCAGAAACCGTGATCTGCCTTTGCAAAAAGAGGCTTTCCAATACCTCTGTTCTCTACAGCTGTTTTTCCTGGCCCTGAAACAAAAACAAAACTCCCTTTTCACACACTGCTCTTCTGCCCCAGTGCTCCCTACCCCTCTGTATCTGTTTGTTTGGAGCCCCTGCTGTGTAGCCCCAGCACCTTCAAAGAGCCCCTATAATCTCCAATTAAATCTGGCTGTGTACTTGGAGGCGTCAGCTGGGGAAATTACACAATTAGGGTTGATTCTGTCTGCTGCAGAATTTTGTGGCAGCTCCTAATTGGTAAATGAGCGCTTGGCTGTATTAATTATTCCAAGTATCGCTCTCTTTTTTTTTTTTAATTGGTCATTCCAGTTGGATGGGTGGCCGGTGTCTTTGACAAACAAAACAGACCATCGGGCTTAGTGTTTGATGATGGGAAAGAGCCGGTGATAATGTTAGCGGGCCCCTTTTTTTTCACACCTGCGCATGCAAAATCGTTGCTTGTAATTAGTTTAGAGAGAGTGGGTCTAGAAATTTTTCCTGTCTTTCATCCTTCCTCCTTCCTTGCTCCTGAACCTCTCTGGAGCTTTGCAAAGTTTGCTTGAAAAGAAGAGTTAGCAACATTTTCACCCCCTTAAAAAGCGGTAATGAAAGGACTCTGAGGGCACAGCAAACCAAAAGCAGTGATGTTTTGTTCGCTGCTCCTGCAAGTGAGAACAAAGGCACCATTTTCAATGCGTAGACACTTTCTTCCAGTTCCAGTTCGACTTGAGAGCGATGCCCTGCTTGTTTGAAGCTTGGCACGTTAATCCAGGGGTGCCTGGCCCTGGCGAGCTCTGTATTGCATGGAAGAGCACCCGAAGGGAGGGGAGGCATTTGGGGAAGAAGCCGTGTCTAATTGCAGGAGGGAGGAGTGGATCCTGCCTTTGCTCCATATGGAGAATATCCCCAGCTGGAAACTTTCCTGGGCCCCATCTTGTTCCTCTCTGATGTCCGATGGCAAAATCTCCCTTGGCTTCAGTGGCAAAATTTGCAGCCAGTGGGTTGATGGGTCTCCTGTGAGAAGCAAACTCATCTTTTGAGGGAGAAAACGTGGCGAAACGTCACTCTGCAGCACATGCAGGCAGCGTGGCAAATGGAAGACCCCCCCCCCAAAAGCAGAGCGCGAGGAGGAGCCTGGTTGTGACGGTGCAGCCATGCAATCTAGTTACACCCCCGTGCCCAGGTGAGCATCACTGACACCATGAAGTGGGATTTCTTGTAGGCAGATACATTAAACAACAAACAGCAGGTTATTCAGCTGCCCCTCTTAGCGGCGGCACAGGGGGACTCTCCCCTGTAGCCCTGTTAACCTCCTGTAAAGTCGCCGGGAAATCAGAGTGCATTGCCAAAAGGAAGCGTTCAGCCAGAAAATAGCCAGTGCTTCAGAAACCAAGGACCAGATGTCTCCCAACATGGTTTCTGCAGCTCCTTCCTCTTCAGCCTTCCCAACACCACCCCAACCATCCCTCCTCCAAATTCCTCCCTGCTGCTGCCTGGGCTTTTGCCCAGCCTGTGCTTGGTCTCTGTCTTTCCCAATGCATGCAGTAGCAGCATCTTCCTTTGCCATCAAGACCTGCTCTTCCTTTAGGGGTTGCATCCACTCTTCTAACATTTTTTTGAGTATTCCCCCCTTTTTTGTGCAGTTCTGTATCATTTTTCTAAGCTTAGATATTAGACGGTAGATGGTTACATGGCATCATGCTTTAGCCCGTGTTATTGTGCAGCATTTGAGGCCTCTCCTAGATGTGCCGTGTGTTCACAGCGAAGTGCTGTAGCCAGGATTTTGCAGGAGCACGGGAACTGCAGAGATTCCTCCTTCTGCTTTTGTTTGTGCCAGCCGTACTCCTGCTCCGGTGCCATCCCGGCAAGAAAAGGGCCTTAACCAGTTTCGTAGTTTAAAAAAGAAGGCACCATGTACGCAGCATGGGTGAGCACCAGATCCCTGTGATACGTGGAGCTCACTCTGATAGGCATCACGGCACGTTGTGCAAGGCAGTCTGAGGGCAGATGCAAGCCCTCAGTACTGGATTTCTCTCCCTGGGACCGCATTATTGAGGCACCTACATTCAGCCGTCCGGCTGCAGAGTGTGAAAGCTGATGAGACGTGAGAGCGATGTGCCCAGCGCGGCCATCTCCGACAGATGGAGGGCCTCCTGGATGTCGCTCCTGACATCCAGTTCCTCATGGCCAGGTGGGCTTTGCAAGGAGCCATGGGGAGAGGTGACCATGTGGAGAGCATTAGCAGGTGCTAAAAATCGATGGGTGCATGGATTGTCTTGGCTGAGCTATATGACCTTGCCTGCAAAATCCTTGGAGCTGAAATGCAGCAGGGATCCTTCATGGAGGACACTGGGCACTTAGAGCAAGGTGGGATCATCACTGATTTACCAGCAATTGCAACAGGATGGGTCTTGTGGAGCCAAACACATCGGGGCTAAGTACATCAGAGAGCGCTGGAGAAAGAGCAGCTCAGGTGCATCTCAGAGGGATGTAACAGGGGGGAAAACTTCGTACACCTTTGTTGTTAAAGGGAGGGGGATTGCAGAGACTTCAGAGTAGCACCAAGGTGGGGCTGTGATGCTGGGTGGTGTTTGTGATCATCGTCACCACTGCAGGAGAGGCCAGCAGCGATGCTTTCCTGACACCTTTGGTGGCCATCATGTTCTCCAAGGCAGTTCTTGAAGGACCAGCACCCTCAGTTTGTCTTGGCCAGAAGCACACAGGTCTCTGTGTACCGGTGGGTTTGGGTACTCTGTGGGTGCTTCCTTCCCATCTAGAGGAGATGCCAGTTACACTCCTTGGCCTCCTCTTGGCTATTTTTCAGCCCAAACGTTGTCTGCCCCCATCTCCCTGTGGCCTTGGCGTGGAGCACGGAGCTGGGGGGGCTGGATGTGGCCCCTGGCACGGCAGGGGAACACCCCGCGTGCAGCTCTGCAGTGTTTCCTTAAGCAGAAGTGAAAGCTTGGGAGGCTTTTTTTAAAAACTTTCTCTTTCTTTCTTCCCAGTATAATGAGTTTGCTGCTGCCTTAATTTGGAGTTCATATGTAATGTTTGTAACACAGCCAAGAAACATCGCTGTACTTGAGGCAGATTATAAAAAGTATCTCATGCTAACACTGGTGTTTTAAAACTTATCCCTGTTCAAAGGTAACATGAATCTTTAAAACTAAAATCACTTGTACTTAAAGAACATAAACATGATAAACCAGTTTGGCACTGGCTTTTTTTTTTCCTTTCTTTCCCTTAAGGCGGCTATGCTACATTTGTGCTCGCTGAGAAGCAAAATTTTCCAGTGCACTCAGCTAACACTTTTCTCTGCTCCCTTGCTGGCCCATCAACATTTTTTACAGTTCCAACATCTTTCTGCTGTTCATGCTTCTTCGCTACTATTGTCCTGAAGGTACATCTGTATCTTTTTATGCACTGAGACCAGATCCTCATCCTGATCTGGGATAACTCTCCCTGTTGATTTGAAGCAGCTACTCTAGATTTATACTGGCATTACCGAGACAAAAAAACTGGTCATGAACCTTTCATCACAAACCTAAAACGCAAACACCCTGTCTACGTCTATGAGAGTCATTTAGCTGGGGAGCATTTCTGTGTCATTTATCTTAACAGCAGCAGGTAGCAATTTAACTGTCACTCCGCACATGCCAAAGCCTCCTCAAATGCATCTGCTCACCAGCTGATAGCCTGTGCAGCAGAAATGGGCCTGTTCAACTTGGTCTTTCCTTTCTCAGGTGTCCCCTTCTGGACCCGGCCAGATAAGATGGAGAAGAAGCTGCTGGCAGTTCCCGCCGCCAACACCGTTCGCTTCCGATGTCCGGCGGGTGGAAACCCAACACCTTCCATCTACTGGCTGAAGAACGGCAAGGAGTTCAAGGGAGAGCATAGGATTGGGGGCATCAAGGTACGGCCTTGGTTTGGATCTCTGTTTTTATCGGGAGTTAGTTTTCTACTGACTGTATAAAATTGTATTTCAGAGAGGTTGGCATTGGTACGTGTAAGAGCATGGTCTCATCTGCGTGGGAATGGGGGTGTCTCTGGCAGCCTTAGCAACTGCTCGACACCAAAGCGCTAAAAAGGGCTGCTGTCCCTTGGGATTGAGGGCTAATTCCCTCAGAGTCTGGCTGTAGTGTTCATTCAGGGACTAGGTAAAAATGAGGCTGGGTTTATGGTTGCGTTGTGGACAGCGATGAGAAAGCAGGAGCAGAAACTTCTGGCCTAATTTCTGGAGATCATCCCAGTGCTTTGAGACACGTCAGACCAAACCGTAGCTACTCCCAGCTTTCAAGGAAAACCAACTCGGCATCCTTTGAAGGTGTAGGAAGGACCTCACCAAAGAGCTGGACCATCATGCTGGTGATCATTAACATTCTTGTGGTATAAATCACTGACCCTCGGTCAAGTGTTGGATTCCCTTGTAGCCAGAGTAATAGCATCTGCTCCTTGGCTGCTTTCGTCTCCCTCCTTTCCTTCTACCACGAGGTGTTCTGGAAAATGCTCTGGCTCTTGTTTATAGATGGAGCTAAGGGACACAGAAACCCACTGCACTCAAATGATTTAATTAGCCAGAAGTTTCTGTGCTACTGTATACGACAAATTTTGGCAGGATTTTAACAGGAAAATCAGCTCTTCCCTGATTTTGTTGTTGTTGTTATTACTTTGTCCCCTTGAGGTCACAGTCAGACTCCTTTCTGGTTTTACTTGAGGAGAATAAAACTGGCAGCAGCTGATTATAACAAAACCAGTGGAGCAGGAAGGATTCCTGAGCTCTGCCAGCCCTGGCGTATCCCTGGGCTGCTGCTACGGAGAGAAGGCGATTTTTAGGAAGGTGCCTTCATCAGTACTCTGAATGGCTCTGTGCTGATGCCTACCACATCTGTAGCATGTTGGAAGGGGGCTAGGCATGCAAAGCGTGACGGGCTCCAGAAACCAGAAAAGGCTTCAAAAAAGTCTTCCCGCAGTTTTGGGCTGTTTCTTTCCTGTTAGCTCAGACCCGTTCCTGAAAGAGCCTTTTGTGATTGCTTCAGTGAAGCCTTTGAAGTTCCCTCCTCAGCCTTGTCCCTGCTCCAGCCTGGATGAGGCTGAGGTCGCTCAGGTTTAGATCTTCTGAAAAGTTATGGAGGGAAAAGAAGTGGGGAAGCAGCTCCTGTGGGTAAACAGCCTTTTGGCAGATAACGCTCACAAAGCACAAGCATCTTTTACTAATTGTAGGCTGTAGGGATCATCATGAAGTGTTTTCAGGCTTGCGTGCGCCGTTTGAACGGCTTTGTACAAAACTATGTGACATGAGCTGCACTAAATTATGCTTGCAGAATAAAATCTAAAGCTGAAAGCAATTCCCCTACCCACTTCCCAGTGGTTTTAATCTATGCTTGAGTTTAAATTGACACGTTTCATCCTCTGCAACACAGTAGTGAGTCTTTGGCATCGCTGTGCTTTGTTTCTCTAGGGGCACCTTCCAGCAACAAGCCGATGCTTAAAGAGCTATTGAAGGCAATGTCAGGCCAATTACAGCAAGATTGGTTTAAGCTCTCTATCTGTCTAGGTGTAATTCTTTGTCCTTTTCTTGATATAAAGACATCTTTCTCTCTCTGTAATTTTCCTTCCCTTATTTGCTTGCTTTTGCTCTTGAGCTGCGGTTAGATGTAAGTAGTCTAATGTAAATCTCATCCACTATAAATATACTGATAGATATCAGCTGAGATTTGAACCAGAAAAAGAGATTGAAAACCTGCTCAGTATCTCATGTATTTAAGATTTAAATTCCCTGTTACAATTTAGCTTCATAACAGGATTAGGCAGCTTGAAAAGAATGGGCAAGATCCAGATCTGGCAGAGTTTGGCTGGCTTACTTCATCTCGAGTTCTGGTCTTAACCCAGAAATCCAGCTGGGAATGTTCTCATTTGTTTTGAGTGTGTGGAAGAGTTTAAACGTTGATTGTGAAAGGTCTGTGGTCAGCAGATAAAAGCTGACCACTCTTCCACTTCTGCCTCTGGCAAATGGCATTTCGATCCCGTGTGATTGCCCGGCGAAAAGTCTGCAAGAGAGAAGGACGAGTGTGGAAAACATGAAGTCTAGGCTAACCTAGGTTTGTTACAGTTCATCCTTAACTGGTAAAGAAAAGAAATTCATATGACTTATCATATGAAATTTCCCAAAGAGCATTAATGGTTAAATCCTTGTAGGAATCTCTAATATCGTAAGCCTGTGTGTGTTAAATGACCCTAGAAGGGAAGATTGAGGGGGAGGGGAGATAGAGGATTATCCCTTCCCCAGACCATTGCACTGACTTGCATACCAGTCTGGCAAACACGGACTTAGGTTCCAAGTGTGTCTGCAAATGTTTGTTTCACAAGGAGCCAAGAATGACAACACCAAATAAACCAGAGGGATTTCCAGTATCTCACCCGCTTGATTAATGCCCACACTAAGTCGCTTCATGTTTCTAGTGTTTTGTCGGGTACAGCGACTATCTTAACTTGGCACCATCCCTTTTTATTATCCTTTAAATCTAGACACCAGTCTCAACCTAAAAAAAAAAAAAATTATCTTGTTACTTCTACAAGAGTTTCCAAACAAGTTCTGCCCCATGAGTTTGTGCTCCCCGGGTTCTCCTCTCTGTTCGGAGTCCAACGTCCCCGTCACAAATCTGATGAAGAGAAGCTCTTTGAAAGTTTCATAAAAGTGTCTTTGAAAGTACATCCTAAGTAAAACACCTAATTTGGACCTGATTTTATAATACAGGTCAGACTAGGCAGTTGTTCATGTATCTGGAGCCCCATTTCCTTGGAGTAGTAGCTCCTAGGAGTTCCAGAGGCAAATGCTTTGCAATGCTGAAAAGTGGATTAAAAGAAGTATATAGACACAACTATGGAAATGAGCCACTGAGCAGCCACAAATTTGCATTGAAACTTCCTTGACAGTCTGGTATGTTCAGCTGTGAACTCAGGGTCCAGGCTCTCTGTTCTCAGAGCTCCTCTTACCCCGGAACTGCCGTGCTGTTACAGAGATGCACCAGGTGGGATGTTGCTTTACAAATGGTGTGATGTTGGTTCAGCATTGAGCAACGTCTGTGCTGTCCTGGGTGGGCAGAAGGTGCAGTCGGACCTGACCAGACATCTGCAATGACATTTCTGTGCTTACAGTTTAGCCACAGCCTCCTATTACCTGTAACCTGAAACGAAAGGCAATGCTGAATTCAGCGGTCTGTGAAAAGTGGGGTGCTCAGCAGTGCTGTTCCCGGGGACGCAGAGATCTACAGAGCAAGGGGCTTTGTTAAAATGGCTTTTGCTTGCTTGTCTTGCAACTAAGCTATCTAGTCCTATGACTTTAAACCTTCTCTTTGCAAAATTCTGGCTTTAATTGCGACTTGGCCCTTTAAAGGAAAAAGCATATGGATGCAATTTATGTGTAGCAGAAGAGGTTAAATGACTTCATATTTGAGTTCACCTGCTACAGCAAGAAACCTCCAGGAGCAATTACACCCTTGTTTTTTTCTATCAGCCCTTGACATTCTGTACTGCAGCATTATTGTAATCTCCTGCTTCTGTGTCCTTGGAGTCACCTTCAAAATGTTAATAAAGTTAAATGTTCTGCTCTGGGTGGCAGAAGGCATCAAATTAATATCCAGAGATTTGGAGGGCTTTGATAACGCTGTGCATCCTGAAGTCATCTTCGTTAGCGTTGGTTGCTGTCTCTATTAATTCAAGATTTGCTTTCCATATCCGTTATTTCCTTTATACTCATTAGAAACAAATGCTGTAGCGGGAAGCACAGGGCAGCGGGTCAGGCTGGAGACATGGGTTGTGCTTTCCCTTCTGCTACTGAACAACCAACAACTCTGGATATGAGCCACATCCAGAAAACCAACGAGTATAAAACTTGTTGCCAAAAGAGAAGGGCTGACCAGGCATCCTAGGGACCAGACTTGAGGCTGGGCATGTTTTCTCCTATTTTTTACAGGGAATTTAGGGGACTAACACAGATGTAGACACCCATTTCTGTTCAGACAGATGCTATGCCCTGTTGCTTCCATAGCACAGATCTTTTAAAATATGTTATAGATGGGGTAAGAAGTATGATTTTTATTGTTTCTAGTCATCTTACAGGTTATATGTAGCAGTTGGTAAAGGTCTGCAGACGAGAGTACGATATTTTGAGCTGACAGAGTCTCTGGACCAGAGTGGTCTGGCAGAGGGGACGAACGGATCAGAGTTATCTTAGTTGATGCCTTCTGAAGTCGTTATTGTAATCAGAGGAGCCACATCCAGCTGTCAGCTGGTTTCATTATTGTTATTATTGTGGAAGCATCTACAAGTCCCCATTGGAATCTCAGCATGTTACATTGTGTAGCACACTGTTCCTGCATTGGTCTTAGTTCCTTTTCACATCAAGCCTTTAATAACCCTTGAAATGGGTCCTTGTGATGTTCAGGCCTACTCTGGGGTCCATTCATGTTGGCCAAGTGTATGGAAGCTCGGTGATTGTTCACTGATTTGAATGGTTTGGGGATGATGGTGGTACTTGACCACGAGCTTCATGGTTTAATTTCTTCTTCTAGTTGCGACACCAGCAGTGGAGCTTGGTGATGGAGAGTGTTGTGCCATCAGATCGAGGAAATTACACCTGTGTTGTGGAGAACAAATACGGCAACATTAGGCACACGTACCAGCTTGATGTATTAGGTGAGATTTCACTGTTTTCCCTCAACAGCTGATCTGTGGTGATGTTGAACAGGCATGTGGTGGAATATGGAAAGCAGCAGGAGCTTGGTTTCTTTCCCAAAGGGCTGGATCATGCGTCTTCTAAAACCAACGAGAAGCTTCCTTTTGGCCAACAATTCAGCCTCAGATCTGCAATCGGTAAATTACTTAGCTGGTCCGCAGAGGGCCAGAAGGAATTGCAGGACCGAGATGCTTCCTCCGTTCCCAGGTGGTTCTTTCCTGTTTGGCTTGAGAAGCACTGGGTAGAGTAGTGGCCAGGACACCCAGGGGGGCAATCCCAGTCTGCACCCTTTCTGCTGACAAGCCAGGAGATGAAGGGTTCAGAGGAGAATCCTTGCTGGAGGAAGGACAGGTAAATTAGGATTTCCCTCTGTTTTCTGTTTTTCAGAAAGGTCGCCCCACCGACCAATCCTACAAGCAGGGCTCCCTGCCAACCAGACTGTGGTGGTAGGGAGCAACGTGGAGTTTCACTGCAAGGTCTACAGCGATGCCCAGCCTCACATCCAGTGGCTGAAACACGTGGAAGTCAACGGCAGCAAATACGGACCCGATGGGACGCCCTATGTCACGGTGCTGAAGGTCGGTACACGCTCCTTCTTCTCACCCTCAGGGCAGTCCTTCCTCTGCCCCCGTCTCGGTGTCACAGAGACAGCAGCTGTGTTGTGGGGATGCTCCTCAAAGAAACCCACTGCCATACTCACGGCAAGAGAGATCAGCACTGAGTAAAGGTGTTCGCCATCAATGGAAGCTATAAACTTTATTTATATGTTTATAAATAAGCCCTAGAGTAGCAGTGCAATGCGAACCCGAAACTCCCAACAGATTATGTTCAATGCCACAGTTCCTAGAAGGGTAATCATTATTTAAATGAGATTTTGGGGAGCTCGATGTCTCATTTTCTGTAATTGTTTGATGTCTGTAAGAAAAAAGTCATGAGAACAAGCCAAGGACAGCTGTTGGGATTGTTCTTTCCTTTAAGCCTGTGCAGTAATACTTTGCTTTTTGGAGGGGGTACAGCAAAAATGTCCTAAAGTTGATGTTCCAGACTCCTCTGTTTGCCAGAGATAACACAACTACCGTAGTGGCACAGATAAGCAAAGTAGTTGTAAGAGCTGAGGCAACTGTGAGAAATGCAGCATAATAAAAGAGAAGCTGTCAGATTGCATTTGACCTAAAATTGTAAAAATAACCTTTTTGTACAGCTTCAATAGAGGTATTTTTGGGACTTACTAAAATAAAAGGCTCCCGACTAAAACACATTCTTTTCCAAGTAAACGCACTGCAACGTGCACGTACTAAATAACGCTGAACTACTGGCACCTGAGAGCCAAGATAGTCTTGTCCAGCCACTGACATCTGAGAGCATTGCTGTTATGCTCAGGAAAGCCTTTTTTTAATTGAGCAAAAACTCACTTAGTAAGACTTGACTTTGCTAAAATGCTTTCTTAAAAGGGCACTTCCAGATTACAGCCAGAACAAAGCCAGCGGATCTGGTTTCCCCTCAATCCATGCAAATATAAAAAGTAGAGAATAGAGAGTTAAAAGCACATTGGACTTTTAAAATCCCCCCCTTTTTTGTCTTTTAATAATTAAAGGCATCCTGTGTTGGTGTTTAGTAAAATAAATAGGGCCAAATGGAGTTTTTCTGGCTCTGCAGTTATAGCTGAAAGCAGATGTTGTCCCTGCAGCTTCAAGCGGAGGTCGTCCTGTGCGTGGACATTCCCTGTGCACATCCTGCTGCACACACCCTTCTTCTCTTTGTGTGAAGTTTATGAAAAAACCACCCCACTTATCAGACAGCATCTACAAAACTGTAACTCAGCCAGATAATAAAAGCCAGAGACCCTGGAAATAATTACACAGATTGAAATAACAGATTGGTTGGAAGAAATGGCTGGAGACAGTTCTTCAGGATTGGCAACACGCGCTTCTCGCGAGTTGATAAAACTTTTTATTTTCTCTCTGTCTCTCCAAATGTGTTTGAATTATGCATATTTGAATTTCCCCCTGGTTTCACAGCCCAGTACCAAGCTCTGAATAGCTGGCTGTGTCACATGCCATCTAGCATAGTCTCCGAGCTCCGTGTGTGGTCCCCGTGGGATAAAGTGCTACCTTTTGGAAGTTTGCAGAGCCACTGCGAACAGTGCCTTGTGTCACAAGCACAAGCTCCCATTTTGCTGTGGCAAAGAACATACAAATAGTCCGTATAAATAGTGTTTTAAAATTAAGTTGGAGCGGCACCGGGGTGGCTAGGTAATTAGAATTGCCAAATACCTTCTCTTCTGTGGACGGCAAAGGCTCCGCATTCCTCGAAGGGGAGCACAGGCAGGCGTTTGAAAGCACAAGTTTTGTTTGGTTTTATTTTTTTGCTGAATAGGACCAGCACACGTCTATTTACTACTTCTGGTTAATCGGGAACGCTTTGAATTGTATTAGTGCCGGCATCAGCGCTGGGGCACGGAGCATTTCCATTTTGGGATGCATCTTTTGTGTGCCAGTACTGGGCCTCCATGGAGCTGTATCAGACCCAGCTTTGCAGGGATTTTTTTTTTTTTTTTAATGTGTCATGTGCTTGTTTTTTAAAAATAAAGATCTGATAAATTTTCCCCTCGTGCCACGCAGTGCTGTTGCTTTGAGCCAGCATCCTGGCCGTGCTGCTGCAGCAGGGTGCTGTTAACAGCCCTTCCCTTTAGAAAGGGCTCTCTCCTGCCCAGTGCTGTGCTGCCTGCAGGGAGATAAGGCTTTTTTATCAGCCTACCCTTCCCTCCTGCCTTCAGGAGATTTTGTGGAGCATAGGAGCTGCTACCCCTCGTGCCACGCAGTGCTGTTGCTTTGAGCCAGCATCCTGGCCGTGCTGCTGCAGCAGGGTGCTGTTAACAGCCCTTCCCTTTAGAAAGGGCTCTCTCCTGCCCAGTGCTGTGCTGCCTGCAGGGAGATAAGGCTTTTTTATCAGCCTACCCTTCCCTCCTGCCTTCAGGAGATTTTGTGGAGCATAGGAGCTGCTATGGGGCAGTTTGTATAAGGGGAGAGTATTCTGGTCTCCATCAGAGCAAGAGGGAAGGAGAGGTGCCCAGCACATGAAATTCCCCCCTCACATCTAAACGGGGTCAAAACCCACCCCAGTCCAGATGGATAAATTGAATGCCATACTTTCAACCCATTTTTTAAACAGCCTAACAAAACCAAGCCATCACCTGCATCAGTTCCTGAAAGCCTGGGCTAATTTGTGATCAAAGGAAACCCCTTTTTCTTTGCAGAAGTGCACTAAATGCATTCCAGTTACGGAGGGGGGACTGGCAACAGGGTGCCCAAGCTTTGTCAAAGGCTAAATTGTGTGTTCCGCATTGAAACATGCCCGGTTTAATTATAAACAAGGCAGCAAGGCAGGCATGTTTCCAGCACTAGTCAGGACAGACAACTGCCAGCACGTAAGCCTTAGAGATGAGATAGGTCGAAACCGGTGGTGTTTGTCATCAGACATGGAGAGTGGGGCTCCTCTCTGATGCCTCCTCCGGGTTCAGTTCCTAATGACCTACCAGATCTGGCAGCCCGCTTGGTTTTAATGGGCTGAAAGTCATATTGGCAGGATCAAGCATTGAGATTGAAGGCACTGAGACTGGGCTGGAGAGGCTAAGACCAAAAATGAGAAGACCAATTGTTTTATTTTCATTTCCAAAACTGAAGCTGATATTTTTTTCTAGACTTTCCCTAGGCTACTTCTGACACCACCCAAAACAGTTGTGCATTTTCAACCAAAATAAAAACAACTGTTTAGGGAAAAAACTGATGTGCTCTTGTGGCAGCATGGAAGAAGAAAAAAGAAAATCCTCGCTTAAGAATCTGAAGTTTGTTTGATTTATATGCACCACTTTATTTAGTAAAGAAGAGCCTCCTATAAGCAGTGGAAAAAATTACAGCTAATTTCTGAAAGGCAAAGTCAGCAGCGAGTTTCAGACCGCCACTGCTTATATTTTGTTTCCAAATTCTATTTTGGAATCTGATAATTGAAACAGTATTTGCTGAGCCGGGTTGCAAACACACATCTCTGCTTAAGCCCTTTCTCTGGTGCTCCTGTCTGCAGAGTTGTTACAAAACTGTAGGGCCTTTGACTGCTGTCAGATGGAGAAATGGGAAATGGGTCCGTTTTTAAAAAAAAACACAAACTCGCACGTGTGCCGCTAGCAAAGGGATGGGAGTTCACTGGAGCGTGGTTTGGGGGCCAAATGCCACTTCTCTGCTTCGCCCAGGTCCTGGGTTAGGTCTCTCACCGCAGGGTGAGCTGGGGATGTTGCCACAGCGGAAAAGAAAGTAGCCGTGACCAGTCGATCCTAGCTAATGTAGGTGCGATGGAGGTATTGCTTGGTTTACTGAAGTTCAGGTTTCTGTCTGTTCCTGCAGTCTTGGATCAGTAAAAACGCTGAAGCCGATGCTAACCTAAATCTGTTCAATGTGACAGAACAAGATGAAGGAGAATATCTGTGTAGAGCCAACAATTTCGTAGGCATAGCCGAAAAACCATTTTGGCTCCACATTCGCAAACCAAAACCAGGTAAACCACAGACTCTGTCCCAAGGCCCTGGCAACTGCAAGAATGAGCTATAACATTTTTAAGAAGCTAGTGATTAAAATTACTATTCATTTTGTATTATACCCTGTCAACTGATGCTGAATGGCTTTATCTTATTTTCTTGCTAATTTTTTTTTACAAGAATGTAACGCCTATACAGCAATTGCCATGGAAAAATTCCCACAATAAAATGACTGTCAAATTTTGCTATCAACTCTTCACGCTTTTATTCCTTTCCCTTCCTTACAATTGAGTGCTGATAACAGAATTGCATGTTAATGACCTGTGACGTTCAAAGCTCTGGAAAACCAAGCTGTTTCAAGATTTTCACCAGTAAAACCGATACAATCAGTACACAGGTACTTGGAGAAGTAATGGAGAAATAAATATCAACATTGGCTCATGCAGGCAGACCCGTTAAATCGAGAGCAGCAGCAATCTCGTGGGCCCCGGGGTTTGACTCCAGCCTGGAGGGTTTGGCTGCTGCGTTGCTCAGTGCCGCTGCAGGGGAGTTCTTTACGGGCACTTTCTTACAATTGACCAGAGTTATATTACAGCATCGAGGGCTGTATAATGAGTATATGGCTTTGAGATGCCCGCTCTGAAAAAATTCTAAAAAATTGTAAAATTCTCTATTTTTCAATCAACTAATGAATCAAAACGTTTGTATGTTCCTCTGATCAGCACTTGAGTCTTTCCCCACTACATCTCCCCTCCCTTCTCCTTTCTTTCTGTCCTTCCTCTCCTCTTTTACCATCTTTCTTTCCCCCTCCCTGTACTCACCCCACTAACCCAAAGCCAGTCATATTGTGGGGGCAATTTTTCATTTGGATGCTTTTGCTTGCATGCTTCTTTAGTGGGACAGAGTAAGAACCTGGTGAAGGGAACTTTTTTTTGCTTTTGACTACAGGTTGCAGAGGGGAATGAATAAATGAATGTGGAAGATGGGTCATTGTAAAAAAAAAAAACACCTTAATCTGCTTTTGAAATTTGCCTGTGGTGTCCTCACACTTGCTGGGAATGTGGCTTATTCTCTGTTTTCCCTCTTTCTATATGTGTGTGTTTTTTTTCCCCATAGACGGCAGGTGTTAACACAACGGATAAGGAGCTAGAGATTCTGTACTTGCGAAATGTTACTTTTGAGGATGCTGGGGAATATACTTGTCTCGCAGGGAATTCTATTGGGTTCTCACATCACTCTGCTTGGCTGACGGTGCTACCAGGTATTTCCTTCTGTGCTGGCTTTTTTTAGGGTGCCTTGATGTTTTGCTTTAGAAATGCCAAGTTCCTGCAGACCGCCCCTTGCTTGGAAGAGGGCACGTTATCCAGGGAGGGCTCTCCTCTGGGGTTTGCTGTGCCGGTGGTGAGTCCGCACAGCAGAAGACAGACCTCTGTTGCGTATTCACAGTTGACACTTTTTGCATTGCATCTCAAGATTTTAATTATTTTTGTAGTAAGGATACAAAATGCTCAGGCTCTTTTTTGAACTAAATAACAAGGAGGTGTTCACAGCCTCTTTATTAAGAGACTGTTAAGTGCCAAAATCTGGAGCTTTGTCTTCTTACACTGCCAGTGGGAGAAGGAAACCTCCCTGTCAGATGATCCACCTAAACTGGACAGAGACTGTGGCTCATCTTATGAAGGAACCTTTCTGTCTAACCTCATACCTTAACCTAAAATTAGATGCTTAAGTGGTTGGTGTGAATAAACCCTTCCCTGCCTGTAGCATTATTTCCGCTTCACGGATGAACAGGCCAAGATAGCGATCTCAAACAGAAGGTCGAGGAGAGTCATCTGCAGAGAGAGCCCAGGAGCCCTGGCTCCCAGGGGGATTGCATGCTGCCTGCTCCAGCTGGGATCGATGAAAGCTGTAGTGGGCTTGAAACCCAAGGCCAGAGTGACCTCAATTTTGTGGTCCTTTCATGTGCAAAGCTCTCATTGACAATGAAGCCAGCGCAGAATACGCAACAGAGGGGTCTGCTCTCCCAAAGAGGAGGACGAGGCTGTCCTACCCCTTCACCTGCAGAATGTGCCTCCATCTGTGGGAGGGGCATGTGCATGGTCCAGGAAAGCACCAGCGATATTCATACTGCATCTCGTAGGTGCTGTGCTGTGCAGGTGCTGCAAGAACAGACCTGCATATGTTCAGTAGACCCTTACTGAAAGGGCACCCAACATCCTGTACGTCCCACTTCGGCTCACCCAGTCAGAGAATTGGGTCCATCTCGCAACACATCCATCTCGGGATGTGTTTGGGAACTGGAAACTTTGGCATTTCTAATCCTGACTTTATCTGTGCGGGTGATTTGAATGTAATCACTTTTACTGGGGCTCAAGAGGGTTTCCTCCACGCCCAGCCCTGCTGCCGATGGGATCTGCTGGTCTTTTCTCTGTTCATTTGCCAGCTGTAAAGTAGCTGATCTGATCCTGTTTCTGCTTCTGCCATCCGCTGGATGAGAAATCGTTTCCTTTGGTTAGAAGACTAATGCCTCTGTTATTTTGAGAATCTCCTGATACTGTCTCATCCAACTGTTACGCTGTTTTTACAATGTATGAACTCACGCCTCTTATTTAAGCAAAGAATAAGCAGGAGAAAACCCACCAAAAAACCTGAAATGGAACTTTATATTGAAGTCAGACGCAGTGAAGGGCAGCCGTCTGTGCAGCAGCAGGCCCCGAAGCGCTGCCCACAGAGAAGGTGCAGGATCCAGCCCGCCTGGGGAACCTCTGCTTGCAAACCCCCATCCACGCTAAGGGAGGAGAGTCGTGGAGCAGAGGGCAAGACGGTGTGAGCCAAGGCAGCAGAGCTGTGGCACCCGCGGTGGTGCCTGGTGCCGGGTGATCTGGTGACCCTTCCCCACAGGAGGAGATGGCAGGATCAGGCACAGGCTCACACACAGGCTGGTGCAGCCCCCAGTGTCACCGACAGCCCTTTCTTCATGTCCCCAGCCACCGAAAACCTGATTCGGAGCCTGCTGCTGCCAGGAGCAAAGCTCCCGCTGCTTTGGGGCAGCAGTGATGTGCACAAGCCGTTAGCGAGCTAACCCCACCGGCATGACTTCATTATAAAGTTTCCTACGGCTGACTGTTCCTCTGATGCCAGAAAGGCTTTGGGGGACAGAAAACCAGTCCCACCATGTCTCCTTCCTCTGGTCTATGTGCCTGTCCTGAAAGGAACAAGAGGAGAAACACAGCTGAGCTTTGCTAGTCCCCAAAAATGTCTTGCTAGCAGGTTGCCACTGCTGATGGGCTCATGCCATCACCCTCCTGGCTCAGCCATCTCTCTGGGCCAGACCTTCTAGCCTCTTCCCAGCAGAACTAAGTTTTCATGAAATTATTGTGCAGCTTGCTCTCATGTGGCTTTTTCCCTGTGCGATGCCTTACATCTGGGTGTCTTTCCAGCCCCTTGGTCCCTCAGGGCAGGCACTGGTCCGGTGGAAATCTTTGCTGGAGAAGCCAAATCAGCAAAGTGCGGCAAACCCCAGTCCTGCAGCCTTTGCAAATCCCAGGCATCTAGCTACGTGGTGTGAATGTGTGAGGAAAGCGAGATCTGCATCAGAGGGACAGCACAGACATGTGAAGATGCCTTCAGTCTAGAGCAGTGATTTTCAACCTGTGGGCTGAAGGCTCTTAGAAACCCCAGGGTTGCATCAAAGGGCAGTAAAATTACCCCAAAAAGGCAAACTGAATGTTTTAGCTACAGCCACAGGTGGAAAACCACTGGCCTGGGAGAGTCCTCTCACTGAAGTCGCTCAGAAAATTGGCGTAGATGAGCAAGTCCTCCCCAGATTCCTTGTGCTGCATGTGTGTAGTTGCGTGCAGGCAGCTGCCTGCCCCGTCCTGACTGCTGTCTCTTGTCACCCCGCAGCGGAGGAGCTCATGGAAATGGATGATTCAGGCTCAGTGTACGCCGGCATTCTCAGTTACGGCACTGGCTTTGTTCTCTTCATCCTCGTGCTGGTCATTGTGATTATCTGCAGGATGAAAATGCCAAACAAAAAAGCCATGAACACCCCCACTGTACAGAAAGTCTCCAAATTTCCACTCAAGAGACAGGTAACAGAAAGTAGATACAAGATTCCTATTCCCCCCTATGGTTATCCCTCTTTTTTTCCCCCCCTTGAAATTTTCTCTCTAAATGAGAAGCTCGACCAGAAAAACATTGCCCAAGAGGGAGATAAGTTGACTGCAGTCTAGGAGTTTAACCCCCTTTCATTCATTTCTGTTCCAGTAGAGCAATAGCTGGTGGCAGCTGACTCTGGTTCATGAGCAGCTCCCAGGCAGCCGCATTTCTGTCACCCCTGTCCAAGAGGGGCTGGCAAGGCAGCCGTGGGTGCCACAGAAAGCACATTTTGCAGGGGAACAGTTTAGTCCAGGCTCCCTGGTGGAGCGGGGATTTGGGGAGCAAGAGCACGTTGAATTGTGCTCAGTCCTGCTTTCACAGAGATCAGTGGTGGCTTGAACCAATTCTCGTGGAGGGTCCTCTTTCTCCATGCAGTTAGAGATGCTCTGCCACGTGTAATTGCAGAGAGGTGGGAGCAAAAGGCACCTTGTAAGACCATATAGTGAAGGATATGGATTTCACGGCTTTGGCTGCAAGCTCGTGGTGGGCATTTACAGGGCCAGAACAGGAGAAGTCACTCCATAGCCTGTACGTGCTATGGAGACGCATACAGAGCAACTGAATGGATTATGCCTCCTGCCTGCTGGAGGGCACTGGCTGACCTGTCCCTCCTTTCCACCAGCTAAAAACCTGACCACAGGTGCCTAGATCAGCGCGTTTCTGCAAGGATGTGGGGAGAGGTGGGTGGGGGAAGGATTTCCCATTTAGAAATTACTGGAAAGGTGTCAGTGGGCAAAGATAGCTCAAACCTCCTCAGTGATCCATCTCAACCACTGCTTGCCCTGGGAATACAGTTGGCAATAACACTTCATTTGCTCTACCCAAGCAGGTGTCGTTGGAGTCCAACTCTTCCATGAATTCCAACACGCCCCTGGTCCGGATCACACGTCTCTCTTCCAGCGATGGGCCGATGCTGGCCAATGTCTCTGAGCTGGAACTGCCTCCTGATCCCAAGTGGGAATTGGCACGCTCTCGGTCAGTCAACCCACGGGTCAGGGTCCCCTCATCTCCCAGGAGTGTCACATCCCGGTACCCACTAACGTGTCTGCTTGTTCCTTCCTCCAGCCTGACCTTGGGGAAGCCGCTCGGTGAGGGGTGTTTTGGCCAAGTGGTGATGGCAGAAGCGATTGGGATTGATAAGGACAAGCCAAACAAGGCCATCACGGTTGCTGTCAAGATGTTAAAAGGTATGGGGAGTCCACGGAGGGCAGAACACTGTATTCCACTGGAACTTCCTCTCATTCCCTTTCTTTTAAGTCTTTTGTACAAACAGATACAATAGAAGAAAGCAAGAACAGCCTTTTTTGCCCTTCACCCACATAGCCTGGGGGTGAGGGCTGTCTCCTTGGAGAGCAAATCCCATCAGGAAGAGGGAATGAGAATTAACCCAGTTCTCTGCCAAGGGGTAATAGCATCCCTGAGAAGAAGGGGAACCCCCTTCACTTCTAGCCAGGTCTGTGAATTGACCCGCTCCTTACTCCTCCAGTAACCAGCGGTCCCTGTTCTAGCCAAAGCTTATGCAACAAGCTCAGGTCGAGTTTGCACAAATTCAGTTGCCAAACTCCTTCTTGAGGAGTCTCTTTGTTGAAGAAACTCGATCCAAAACTCCTGAGAGGTTAAAGGGAGACCAGAAATGGGGGAGCCACTGAGCACCTTCAGATGAGTCTCTGTTTCCCATCCATCCATCCATCCATCCATCCATCCATCCATCCATCCCACACACACGGTTACCACAGACAACGCAGAGACAAAATTGCCCAGAGGAGTTCAGCTGGAGCAAGCAGGGCAGATGCTCCAACAGTGAGCAGCCCAGGTTTGAGGTTACATGGGGTCACATCTTTAAAAAAATAATATTTCTTGTCAGAAAAGGATTCTTTTAATTTACATTTTCTTCAGTCCGTTCTGAAGTTGGTTTTGGAAGCGGGAACATTCCCATCTTTCCAAACCAAAGCATTCATTTCGGGAGGTTTTCCCCATTTTTCTACTTTTGTAGAAAAATTGCAGCTTTCCATGCAAAAAGTACATTCCTTCCTTTGGCCCCTCTCCCAGCTCTGACCTTCCACCATCCTTAACTCTTTGCCCCTGGAGCAGAAGGAAGGAAACAGTAAGAAAAGGAAAGTGATCCCAGGTACCAAAACTGGCTTTTTTTTCATGAATACTTAACCAGGATGAAACAGAAGATGAAAGGCTGTATTGATTTCCATATGAACATTTATCTCCATTTATTTGTTTTTTTGTCTTCTTTTTTGTGGTAGTAGGTTTTGGGTTTATTTTGATTCTTCTTCCCAAAGTAGAATAAAAACAAATACCACCATATTTTGAGCCGTATTTTGAACCATACTTTGACCACTGTCTCCCCATCAAAGCCCCACATGGCTACACAGCAGTTGTATTAACTATTTCACAAAATGCTTTTTTTCTTGACATTTTTTCACTTTCTTGCTTTCTCCAGATGATGCCACAGACAAGGACCTTTCCGATCTGGTCTCTGAGATGGAAATGATGAAAATGATTGGGAAGCACAAAAACATTATTAACCTCCTCGGTGCCTGCACGCAGGACGGTAGGTAGCAAAGCAGCCCGGTACTCGCAGGGCGGTGGGAGGCTCAGGTTTGACTGTCCCTTCTAGGTAATTACTCACTGGCTGCCCAAAATGTCCCAGATGAGATTTCGGTGGTCAGCGTAGCCCCAAGCAGCACGTGCTGTTCCTCCGCTGGATGCTGATGGTGCTCTTGCTTGCAGGACCGCTCTACGTGTTGGTGGAATACGCGTCGAAGGGGAACTTGCGGGAATACCTCAGGGCACGTCGCCCACCTGGCATGGACTATTCCTTCGACACCTGCAAGCTGCCTGAGGAGCAGTTGACATTTAAAGACCTGGTTTCCTGCGCCTACCAGGTGGCCCGTGGAATGGAGTACTTGGCATCTCAGAAAGTAAGTTGAGAAACTTCATTTGGTAGAAGCGTCAGTCAGACCCATGTGTTCAAAGGCGTGCAATGCGGGGCGGTGTGTGTGCGTGTGTTTTGGCTTTGAGATGTGCAACATGGTCTAGTGGAGGGTGTCCCTGCCCACAGCGGGGGGGTGGAACTAGATGATCTTTAAGGCCCCTTCCAACCCAAACCATTCTGTGATTCTATGATTCTATGAATCCTGAGGCTCGGGCAGCACTGGTCAGGGTGAGCATCACACCAAGTTGTGAGCTGCCGTCATGGGAGATGTCATTTCAGACAACAGTCAGGGGCTACATGCCTCCCTCTCCCTTCTGAGATGGCTAAAGATGCAGAGCACCCACGAGGAAGCTGAGATCCTGGGTGTAGCTCATGTGTTTGTGGCTGTCACCAGCACGGGTAGGCTCGGTGTGAGCAGAGCTGGCGGTGGATTTGGCTCGATGCATGGCCGTGCCCATGATGCTCCCTGAGGAGCACTTCGCTGGCATTGAGCCGGCTGCTGCATTTGCTTACATCATACCCTGGGATTAGTCCTAATTTACCCTGACATCAGCAAGTGGAGAATCAGGCTTTGGGTTCACGAAGCTGCTCACCAGCTGGCGTGACCTCTTTTTGCAGGCAGGGAGCATTATGGCAAGAGCAAGTTCAGCTTCAGATGTCAGGTGTGTTGGTCCTGTGACTGCAGTTCAGGGTGGATGGTCCGTGGTGACTTTAAACTCCCTCTCTGCACCGTGCAAGCTAATTTAGCTTCTTTCTCAGCTAAAAACTATGATGGATTTTGGATATGTTGGGGATGTCTTAATTTGAGGATTTTTTTTCCTTCAAACATCAGCCAGCACTCCTCTTCCTGGAAGAAGCAGGGCAGAAAGACAGTTTCACGTCCCAGTAGACGCCCACAGAAGAGGAGGGTTGTCTTCCTCATCTGTGCATCCCCTTTGGAGAGAAAAGACGCGTGGCTGTGTCAGCGCTGAGGCTGCCGATTAGGTGTTGCTAAGAGGTGGCTCCCACCAAGCATGCATGATGGGGCAGTGACACAGAAAGCGAGGAGTTAAGCAGTGCCCACAACTTTATGAGCTTGGGAGTCAATGAAACGGCAGCTCATAAACCACACGGTGCTGTTGGTTCCACGCGCAAGCAGCTAACAAGCCCTTATTTATTGACTTGCTCACCTTTCACAGTGCATTCATCGCGACTTGGCAGCCAGGAACGTGTTAGTCACTGAAGACAATGTGATGAAAATAGCTGATTTTGGCCTCGCTAGAGACGTTCACAACATCGACTATTACAAGAAAACCACCAACGTAAGTACAGAGCTGCCAAGCACGTGCAGTTCTCCTTCTGGCAGGGAATTTGGCCATCCCTGCAGCAGTGGCCTTTGTCCCACAGCTCCCTTTCTGGAGGGGCTTAGGAGGAAGAAATCTGCTGGTGGTCTCACCTAGTGAGGGACCGTAGATAGGCTGGTCCAAGGACTCCAGCCACCATCCGTTTTCTTCCTGACAGATGCTGCTGCTGCTAGCAGCTGGTTGTCAGGTCTCAGCTCTGGCCAGGAGGCTTTAGACTAAGAGAAACCAAGGTTTTTACCAAAGGGGAATGGAGCCTTTTCCAATCTACTCCACTACTGTTCTTCAAGGTCCCAAGGAGCCAAATTCTGGCCCACCAGAGAGCCCTTGACACAGGAATGTCACTTTTTGTATACCTGGAGCTACCTGGCTTTCATGCCTTTCTCTCTGTTTTACAACTGAGCTCCTTGACTCCACTGCCAAGGGTGAGGAGATAGTCCCAGACAAGGGCTGAGTCCTGTAGTCGTTTATATTTTCTGTGGAGGTGAATTTACGAATGAAGGGCTGCAGAGAAGACCTGTGTCTTGGTTCAGAGCCCTGCAGCAGATGTGGAGCTCTGAGCAAAAGCCACAGCTACAACGGAGTGCAGAGGTGGCAGTGGAAGAGGTTGAGGGCATTGCAGAACCTGAGGGCCTTGCGACTGCAAGGGGTCTGAACATCAAGGCAGTCCTACAAAGCCCACCATGCCCATACTGATCCTTTTCAATGTCATATCAGAGATCTTTCTTAACTGCCATGACTTCCTAATCATAAATGAATACAATTTCTTGGGAATTTAATTCCAAATGAGATGAATTTCCCCTGTTTGAGCTGTGTTGGACAGCTGAGAGCATAATCTCATTTGTGCATCCTGCCTATGCCCCATCTCTAGTTGTCTCCCTCAGTGAGACAACGGGTCAGAAGAGGACAAAGCCCTCCCATAGCCAAATTATGCCTCAAACATGAAACGGTCCTTTCTGACTCCCTACAGAGGCCAAGCAAAGCCCCAAAGAATTATGGTTAATCTAGTCTTTCTCATCTCATATTTCTCATATGATTCTCATTTATGACCCTGATGTAGGATGTTCCGCTGGAAACCTGGGATAAGGCCTCCTCCTTTAGCCTCCAGCGGGATCAGGATTTGATTCTTAGAGGATCTGGCCCTTGCCTTCACTCTTGGAAGTTTCCCTTCAAGTTCAGTCTAAGCAAGATTTGGACTTTGAGTCAAACCAAAGAGATGGAAAGTGTTGTCCCATGCTCTGCTGCAGAGCTCGCTGCATTTATGAGCAGTGGATGCTGTTCCAATGCGAAGATTTAAATGGTCTGATCGGTTAAACCTGCCTTGGCAGTGAAATACAGTCCTCCGCAGAGAGCGTTTACTGCAAAGATTGTCAGCGAAGATCCAGGGATCAAATGCTCTAATCTGTTTATATGTGGCCACTACTGCTTTGCCCACTGACCGGGAAGGCAGATGTGGTGGTTAATGAAAATGTTTCAAACTGGATTAGAAAAGGAGATTCAGATGGTGCCGTTGTGGCTGGAGGGATATGCTGATGGGATGTTCCCATTGTCTTCCTAATTACAGGGTCGGCTGCCTGTGAAATGGATGGCTCCAGAAGCCTTGTTTGACCGGGTCTATACTCACCAGAGCGATGTGTAAGCATACCCGTACTTTTTAAAAAAAAAAAAATAAAATGACAGGGAAACCAACACCTATAGTTTGTTAAAGACAAATGTGCTGCTACGCACGAGCAGGGCACGTTCACTGCTTGGGGTCCCCGGGGATGCAAAAGCAAATGAATCTATTCCAAGCTGCAGCTTTGCACACATGGTTTTATTTTACCGTTATCTAGTTGCTTTCATCTGAGGATCTCTAGTGAGCTGCTGCAAAATTATTGGAAGGCAGGCAGGTATTTCTTGTCCAGTTTATAGATGAGGAGATTCATTCTGCAGTCAAAAAAATTTGTGCAAAAAAGAAATTCCATGCAAAACACATTACCCTCGGCTTCCTCCACACTTTGCTCCAGACAGTTGCTCTGCACTTGAGTACGTGGGATGAGCTTGAAATATTCTATCTGCTGTTAGTAGTGTTGAGCAGAGAATATTCAACAAATATATTCTGGGATTAATTTTGCCGCTTCATTTATATTTGCCTTTATTTTGCCTAATCCTGTCTTGTCCGTTTTGGTGCCTCGGCACGGTAAGCAAACAGCAAAGCCTGTGCTAGATGTCAATCTGTATCACATCTGAACTTTGCAAGGGCTGAAGTAGCTCAGCACACACACCGGCTTTTTTATTTCGATATTTGGTCGATAATGGCATTTTTACAGTAATTCAGCAGCCAGCCTGCCTGCTCCCCGATGCTCGCTGTTAGCAGTTGGACAAATGAATCTTTTCTATTTCTGTATTTTTCACATCCTTTGGCTTTTATTGATCTTAAATCATAGTTTCCATGCTTAGGTAACGCTGCAGTGGGCATGACAGATAAATCAAAGCTAGAGAATGGGAGAGCAAGCGTGCGTGAAAGCGAAACAGAGACAAATAATCCCTGTTTTTAAAAAGAAAACGAAGAAGGCAAAAGATACTTTTGAAAAAGAGGACTTTTAGCCAGAGCACAGCTGCAGGAGTGGAGTGTGTAACGTTAGTGCTCTGCTGATTTTTGTTGGGGTATTTTTCTCCCAGCTTGGCCAGTGAAATGAGTGTTGTAACAAGCAAGTTTTGGTATCAGCTTGCACAATTAGTGGCCTGTGGTTCCAAGCCTGCAATTCAGTGAAGCTGTGCATGAATAATTTGATTTGTTCCATTCAGTGGAGCTGGTGGAAGACCTAACAAAGAGCTGGGGGTAATAGATGGGCTGTCACCTATCTGATTAAATGCTCATTTCAATTTCAGACTTGGTGCCTGGGATTTCTTTGCTATTGAGTTGGATCAGCAGAGATCTCCAAGTAACTAGTAAAAATGGCCTAGGCAATTAGTCATGCTATTGATGACTTTGTTAGCTATGCATGGCTGCACAGAAATAAAGCCAGGCAGGGGGAAGGGGATACAGGAGGGGCTCAGAAAAAAAACCTCATTGAATTTTAAAGATCTTTCTTTGGTTTCCAGCTGGTCTTTTGGAGTGCTACTATGGGAGATCTTCACTTTGGGAGGGTCTCCGTACCCGGGAATTCCCGTTGAGGAACTCTTCAAACTCTTGAAGGAAGGCCACCGGATGGACAAACCCGCGAACTGCACCCACGACCTGTGAGTGCATGGTGGGGGTGACCTCTTCTCCCCACTCCCCTTTCCCTCTGTGGCCAAACACCACTCAAGGCCATGGTTCAGGCTGGTGGGACATCCCCGCCGTGCAATTGTGGCGCCAACGCTGGGTAGGTTCACCCACCCTGATGTCTTTTGGCTCAGCCCATGACTGCCAGGTGACATAACGCACCTGCCCTTGTTTGGCGGGTGGCAGTGGGGGGTGAAGCTCGGGTGTGTCATTTTTAGGACAGTTCCTCCTCCTATTTCAGGAGCATGGACATGAGTGAGGTGATCAGTAACGAGGAGCATGGCTCCACAAAACCCTCCTCCTCCTCCTCCCTGCAGCTGGCCATGCACCAAGGCCACCATGGCTGAAGTTGCATTGGCCATAGCTGTTCTCTCACGCAGTTTGGGGGGGGTGGGCAGGTGGGTGGGCACTGCTTAGCCTCATCGTGGGTGACAGTCCCCTCTCACACAGGTACATGATCATGCGGGAGTGCTGGCACGCCGTCCCCTCGCAGCGGCCCACCTTCAAGCAGCTGGTGGAAGACCTGGACAGGGTCCTCACCGTGACGTCCACCGATGTGAGTGTGGTAGGGTGGCCACGGGGAGGGGTGGCTCGGTCCCCGGCGGGGGGCATCCAGCGGTGATGGGTCTGTCACCCTGGCAGGAGTACCTGGACCTCTCAGTGCCCTTCGAGCAGTACTCACCGGCCGGCCAGGACACCCACAGCACCTGCTCCTCGGGGGACGACTCGGTCTTTGCACATGACCTGCTGCCCGACGAGCCCTGCCTGCCCAAGCACCCCCCTTGCAACGGCGTCATCCGGACGTGAGGACACCCCGGACAGATGGATAGACGGATGGATGGACAGGCGGGCAGCGTGCCCACGGAGGCGCGAGGGTGGGGCGCCGAGGATGAAACCGTAGTGAAGGATCTTCCAGTGGAACTGCATGGTGGTGCCCAGAGATTTGTGGTGTTGTCGAGCTGTTCAGGGTAAAAAGAAAAAAAAAATTAAGTTTTTTTTGTTGGTTTTTTTCCCCCGTTTGCTGTATAAAAAGTCAAGAAGCACTGTTTGGCCTGAAGGAACTAATCTCTTGCCAAGATGATCTATCATACATGATTTTTTTTGTTGTTTATTTTTGTTTTTTGTTTTGTTTTTTTTACTAAGCAGAATGTTGAACCTGGGGGGCACTGACCTTCCAGCCTCCGTGCTTGCATTTCGAGTGCCAGAGTAGCCGTTCTGTGCCTGCAATACGAAGAAGAGGAAAAAAAAATCTTCCTTTTTTTATAAAAAGAAAACACAAACAAAAAAAAGTGTAAAGAATGTAGAAATTCTTTGCTTATGCAATCTGTACATGAACCTTTTTGGTGGAGCTGAAAAGCCACGTTGCCTGCAGGGATTCATATATTTATAAAAATATCTATATTTTTGTTGTCGTCGTTTTTATAGCTTCATGATGTTACCCAGCTACATAGAAGGAATCCTTTTTGGAAGAAGAAAATAAGTAAAATGCGAATAATCATGGAGAAAGAAAAAAAAAAAAGATAAAAAGAGACAGTCAAGTCATCTGAAATGGCGGTGCTGGGCCTT